GTGCTCACCAGAAAGACAGAGACAGAGAGACAGAAAGCGAGAAATCACCCCTCAGGGGGGATGGCCACGCCACAATCCCTTCTCCTCCATTCTCCTCCCAGGATCTTGGGCACGCACGCACACGCGCCGGGCGTGAGTTTAAGCTGCCAGATCTGGGACTCGAACCGTGGTTGACTACATGGGAGTCCAGTGACATAGCCATTACGCCACCTGCTGGTTCCCCTGGAGGCTTTTCTTAGAACACTGCCACTCACTGGGAATGTGACATGCAATGGAGAGGGTGGGACCGCACTCTGCCGGCGCTCGCCCATCCAGCGGTTGGTCTAGTCCATGAGATCTGGGTGCGTTCCGCATGGCGCTGTTTCCGCAGATGTGCTGGGCGGAGGGGAGGCTGAGTGCCAGTACTACACGCCAGCGTTTCCCAGGTTTATTCGCGAGAGCCTACATTTACACAGAGGTGACTTAGGTGCCACTGGAGCAGAAGGTAAACTGAGCAACCCTGTCCTAGGGGCCAGAGAGAGGCCAAGTTGGGGCTCTGAGCTCTCCAGTTAAGCCGTTCCTCTTAAAACAAAACTTCCTCTCTCCTCTCTAGTTTTCATTTTTTAGAGAAGTTTTCAGGTTCACCGCAAAGCTGAGTGAAAGTAAGAGAGTTCTCATACACTCACTGCCCCCTACTGTCACCCACCCACCATCAGCATCCTGCTCCGGAGTGACCCATTGTTACGGCCTGGGAAGCTGCAGTGACGTCAGTGACGCGCAAAGTCCACAGTCCAGCTCAGGGCTCAGCCTTGCTGTCCATGCCCTGTGGGTTTTACACACGGGTGATGGTGTATGTAGTTTCACTGCCCTAAATGCTCTCTTTTCTTTTATTTTGTGTATTGGGATTCCATGTAAGATTTCATTTAGAAAAAAGGTCCCACCTACTGAAAAAAATTTTAAACTATTTTAAATTGGTAATCAATTTTGATTTTTTTATATTTGCCATAGGGCATATGCACTTGTTCAAAAGAAAGAAAGAGAGAGGGAAAGTGAGAAATTAACCCCCTGGGGGATGGCCACCCTACAATCCCTTTTCCTCCTTCCCCTCAGGATTTTGGGCATGCATGCACCTGCACCCAGTATTTTTTTTTTTTTAAGCGAGGTTTTTGGTATAGGGCACATGCACTTGCCGGAGAGATAGCGAGACAGAGAGACAGAAAGTGAGAAATCACTCCCCAGGGAGAATGGCCACACCACAATACCTTTTCCATTCTCCTCTTGGGATTTTGGGTATGCATGCACATGCACCCGGCGTGAGTTTTAAGCCTCCAGGTCTGAGACTCTAACTGCGGTTGACTATGTGGGAGTCAAGCTACGTAACCATTATGCCATTTGCTGGTCCCCCCAAAGTGTTTTTTAAGCCATCAAGTCCGGGACTTGAACCATGCAATCGGCCATGTGAGATTCAGCTGCCTTAACCTCCACGCCACTGACTGGACTAAATTTTTGAAACCGTCATCTCAAAGGTCAGAGTTTCCCATCTGCACCCCTGAATCCTAGGAGTACTCTCTTTTATTCAGGTGTGCTCTCTCCTGTGGCCACCCTGACAGACATATCCCAGTGGCCATCCGGCACCTCCCGCCATGTCCTCCCTGCCACGCTCTCATGTCCTCACAGGTGGAGCCCGAGACGCAGGCCGTGATCCAGTGGATGCGCTCCCTCAACTTCGTTCTTTCGGCCAATCTCCACGGAGGGGCAGTGGTGGCCAATTACCCGTATGACAAGTCCCTAGAGCATCGGGTCCGAGGTTTCCGCCGCACCGCCAACACCCCCACGCCTGATGACAAGCTTTTCCAGAAGGTACGCAGAACGGCAGCTTCTCCTGCTGGGTCCTGTCAGGTTCGAGTCCACCAGAAATAATCAAAATAGGGCCTGCTCGTGAGAAGTCAGTTACACTTGGGAATCAGCAGTTAGCGTAATGGTTATGTTGCTGGACTCCCATGTAGTCGACCGTGGTTCATGTCCCGGACCCGGTGGCTTAAAACTCACGCCGGGCGCGTGTGCGTGTGTGCCCAAGATCCCGAGAGGAAAAAGGAGGAGAAGGGATTGCGGCGTGGCCATCCTCCCTGGGGGGTGATTTCTCGCTTTCTGTCTCTCTGTCTCTCTCTGTCTGTCTGGCGAGCGCACACGCCCTATAGCGAAAACCTCTCCAAAAAGAAAAAGATAAAAAAAAAAGAAGTCAGTTACACTTTATTGTAATTGCTAAGCCATAAATTCATGAGAAAAGAAGTCAGTTACATTTTATTGTAATTGCTAAGCCATAAATTCATGAAAATGAAAGCTTTATAGTATATCAAAAATATATAAAAAAACACTTAAGCTCATGACAAGTAAGAAATACGCCAAAAGGCTAATAGTGCTGGGAGTGAGCCGGCGGCGTAAGATGTGAACTTGGGGACGGTCTAGGTTGTCACTTCACGGCAATGTATCTATATTCATGAAAACTTGACCATGCACATGGAAATACTCTCAACAATAGCTCTAAAGTATAGGGCCAGCCTGTGGCATGGTGGTTGAGGCGGCTGGATCTCATGTGGCCAACTACAGTTCGAGTCCCAGACCCAGCAGCTTGAGAGGCACAGCCAGTGTGTGTGCGTGCATACCCAAGGTCGGAGAGGAGGGAGAAGGGATTGCAGCATGCCATCCCTCCTGGGGGGTGCCTTCTCACTGTCCCTCTCTCTTTCCAGCGAGCGCATGTATTCTATAGCTAATGTTTTACAAAGTACAGAATAAAATGAATGTAGCTTAATGTTATATCGATTGCATAGATTTTTAAAATACATTCATATTGTTTATAATAAAGTATATAAATTAAATTATGAAACACATATAGAAGTATATATTAATATTGATGATAAATTAATATATATTTATATGCAATACAAATCATTGTAATATTAACTATTAATTTATCGGTGATTCATAATACTCGTTGTGGCTTTGCAAAGCAAGTGTATTATTATATTTTCTTCTCTGGTAACCTTATTTTGTCTGCTGTTACAAAATGAAGGAGAATCAGAGTCTGAGTACTTTTCTCTCCCTCCAACACACGCTTCTCACACCCAGTCCATGCCCTGTCCCTGGAGGGGTCCTGCCCTGCTTGCTCCTTGATTCCTTTTACAACATTAAGCTAGCAAACGGCCCGGCTAGAAGGGACCTTCTGTATCATCTGGTGCCACCTCTCCCATCGCACGTGAAGAGCTTAGCCCCCAGAGAGTAGAAAAATCCGTTTGCAGTTCCCCTAACTCTAGCCTACTGCACACACTCGCTTACACACACGCTGTGTCTCTCTCTCTCACACACACACACACACACACACCCGTCCCCTCACCCTCATCCTATTTCCTTTCACAAAGCTAACATCAGTCGTGAGGCCTCGTGGCCTTCCTGGCCCCCGCAGCTCTGCGTGTGAGCCCCCGAGGCGGGAGTCCTTAGGGTCGTGTCCTGCCTGCTTTGCCTCTAGCTGGCCAAGGTCTACTCCTATGCCCACGGATGGATGCACCAAGGCTGGAACTGTGGCGATTACTTCCCGGATGGCATCACCAACGGGGCTTCCTGGTACTCCCTCAGCAAGGGTAAGCGGCATCCGGGAGCTGCCCGCGCTGACGCAGTAGAAGGATAGCGCTCTGCTCCTTCTCAGTTACCGGCGTCCTCAGGGACACGGTGGGGATCCTAGAAAATGTTCACTGAAGTAGAGATCTGAAAAATGGAGAAGTCTCAGGCGGGCATTTAGTGTCATCCTGTGATTCTTTAAACTATGTTAGGGGGCCAGCAGAGGTGTGGTGGTTAAGGCACTGGAGTCCCACATGATTGACCTTAGTTCAAATCCTGGACCGGGTGTCTTGAAAATCAGGCACGTGTGCCCAAAGTCCCGAGAGGAGAATGGAGAAGAGATTGCAGTATGGCCATTCTATCTCATGTTCCCTCTCTGAGTCTCTCTGTCTCTCTCCAGTGAGCCCATGTGCCCTACGGTTAAAAACAAAATTAAAAAAGAAAAGAAAAACAAAACTATGGTAGGGACACATTGTGGTCTTGTGAAACTGGAGGTTTAAACAACAGACGAAGGCACAGGAGGAAAATAATGTAGCCAGATGATCAAGGGTGTGGGCTCTGAGAGTGAGCTGAGCTGAAACCTGCCTGACCATTTACCAGTGTGGGACTTGGAGATAATTACTGAACCTCTCTGTTGTTTGATTTCCTCATTTGTAGTTAAGAAAAATATTATTTGCCTCATACTTTTGATGAGAGTATTAAATAAAATAATATATACAAAACATTTGGAAATCTCTGGCTTATAAATCTTAGGATTTTTTTTTTTAATTTTTTAATTTTTTTTTAGGTTTTTGCTTTAGGGCACATGAGCTTGCTGATGAGAGAGAGACAGAAAGTGACAGAGAGAAAGTGAGAAATCACCCCCCTGGGGGCAGCACCTCTATCCCTTCCCCTCTGTTCTCCTAGAATTTTGGGCACTCACATGTGCCCTGTATGATTTTCAAGCCTCCAGGACTGGGACTTGAACTGTGATCAACCATGTGGGAGTCCAGTGTCTTAACCACTGTGCCACCTGCTGGCCCCAAGTCTTCGGCTTTTAAAGACTAGCACAGAGTATGCCTTATATAGGGACCAGCAGTTAACGTAATGGCTATGTTGGTGGACTCCCATGTAGTCGACTGCGGTTCGAGTCCCGGACCTGGTGGCTTAAACTCATGCCGGGCGCGTGTGTGTGCATGCCCAAGATCCCGAGAGGAGAATGGAGGAGAAGGGATTGCGGTGTGGCCATCCCCCTGGGGAGTGATTTCTCGCTTTCTGTCTCTCTGTCTCTGTCTTTCTGGTGAGTGCATGCGCCCTATAACAAAAACTTCTCCAAAAGAGAGAGAGAGAGAGAGAGAGAATGACTTTTATAGCAACAGGTGCACCGAGAAGCAGCCTGGGCACAGCCAGCCCCCTGACACGCTCTGTACCTGACTGTCCTCCCATAGCCAGAATCTGCCCTGGACACCGGCCATTGACAAACAGCCTGCAAAAGCAGCACTTCTTTGTAAGAAGCTTCTCTCTAGTCCCTGGGCCTGATAATGATCAGCTCCAGCCTGCCAGGGTCTGGGAGAAAATCCGTTCTCCCGAAAGCGTGGCAGGCCTATGGTCTAATATGAGGGCATGGCTGACAAGCAGACTTTGGAAATGATGAGAGGGCCAGGGCGGGAAATGAAATCATGAACTAGAAATGGCGTAGAGGGTGGAGACAACAAAATGCATATTTCTGAAGAGAGGAAACTGGAAAGGGAGAAAGGCTTGGGAACTGGGAAGCTGGGGAAACTTTGATGTAGGGTGAGCTGAATGGAAATCAAGAGGCAGAGTGGCAGGTGATGAGGGGGTCGGGGAGAAACTGTGAGGAGGTGAGATGGGGCGTGGGGTGGGACCCTGGTTATATAAACCGGCCACTGCCCTGTTTCCCCTAGGAATGCAAGACTTTAATTATCTCCATACCAACTGCTTCGAGATCACGCTGGAACTGAGTTGCAACAAGTTTCCCCGCCAAGAGGAATTACAGCGGGAGTGGCTGGGTAACCGGGAGGCCCTAATCCAGTTCTTGGAACAGGTAAAATCCCATTGCTTCACTTTCCTGGTTACCAAAAGCGAAGTGTTTCCTAGGCACGGCCGAGGTGTCGTGGGTGGCTCGGGTCTAGGTTTTGCTCTGACTCAGTACAATAGATCTAGGCTGCTTCTACCAGTGAGGTGTGTTCACTCCACTCTTTGTCGGACGCTGTGCTATCAATATATGCCGAGAATTACGAATCAGCTAACACATATGGGGACCAGCAAGTGGCTAAGGCGCTGGACTCACACACGGTCAACCACACGTCAAGTCCCAGACCTCTGGCCTGCTTGAAAATCCTGACAGACGCGTGTGTGTGCATACCCCAGAACCCAAGAGGAGAATGGAGGAGAAAGGACTGCACCTGGCCATCCCCCTGGAGAGTGATTTCTCACTCTCTCTCTCTCTCTCTCTCTCTCTGTCTCTCTCTGGCGAGTGCACATGTCCTATGGCGAAAACACAAAAATAAAAACAGAAGACCCCATATATCCCTTCCCCTGTGGAACTACCATTCTAGTGAGGAGAGATTAGCAGACAATGAGAAAAATAAAATAAATTTTCTGAGACTGGCAGATGGCGTAGTCATGGTGTTGCTGGACGCCCACATGGCCGATCGTGGTTCAAGTCCCTGATTTGGTGGCTTGAAACTCACACTGGGCCCGTGTGCAGGTGTGCCCAAAATCCCAAGAGGAGAATGGAGAAGAAGAGATTGCAGTGAGGCCATCCCCCTGGGGGGTGATTTCTCACTTTCCGTCTGTCTCTGGTGAGTGCACGCACCCTATAGCAAAAAAATAAATAAAAATAAAAATAAAAATCTCTTAAAATAAACAAATAAATACATTTTCTAACCTGTTAAAGGGGAAACGCTATGACGAAAACCTTACAGAGAAGATGACATTTAAACAAAGATTTGAAGGTGAGCGAGAGAACAATGCAGATATCTAGGGGAGAAGGAGGATTCCCCAGAATGGATACCCCAGAAAGCACAAGGGCACCGCCAGCATATGAAGAATGTTCCACACACCAGTCATTAGGGAGATGCAAATCGAAACTGTAACATGATAGCACCTCGCATCCACTACGAAGGCCACTACCAAAACTAGGCGACAAAACAGAACCCCAAAGCCCCAACATTTACAAGTTGGTAAGGATGTGGAGAAACTGGAATCCGCACGCACTGTTGGCAGGAATGGAAAATGATACAGCCGCTATGAAAAACAGTACGGCAGTTCGTCAAGAAATAATGATCTTGGGCAACCCATTTTCCAGGACCCCTCCCTTCTTGGGAGCTCTGTTTTCCCTTCTCCCTCCTTCAGTAAACTCCCTGCTTTGTTAATAAATTCCCCGCTTTACTAATAAATTCTCTGCGGAACCAGCAGTTAGCATAATGGCTATGTCACTGGACTCCCACGTAGTCCACCGCGGTTCGAGCCCAGACCCGGCGGCTTAAACTCATGCCAGACGCGTGTGCGTGCGTGCCCAAGATCCCGAGAGGAGAATGGAGGAGAAGGGATTGCGGTGTGGCCATCCTCCCTGGGGAGTGATTTCTCGCTTTCTATCTCTCTGTCTCTGTCTGTCTGGCGAGCACACGGGCCCTATAGCAAAAACCTCTCCCCCCCTGCAAAAAAAAATACCTCTCTGCTTTGCTATACCCACCCCCCAAATTATGATCTAGCAATACTGCTTTGGGGTATGTATCCAAAAGAACTAAAAGCAGAGTCTCAAAGAGATATTTGTGAACCCGTGTATTTAGAAACATTATTCGCAAGAGCTATAACGTGGAAGCAACCCAAGTGTCCATTGATGGATGAATTTATAAGCAAAATATGGCATATACACACAATGGAATATTACTCAGCCTTCAAACAAGGACATTCTGACATATGCTAGTGTGGATGAATGCTGAGGACATGTGACGCGAAATAAGCCGTCCACAGAAAGGAGATATACCATATGATTCCACCTGTATGATACACTTAGAGTAATCAAAATCGTAGAGACAGTAGTAAAATGGTGATTACCAGGGGCTGGGGGAGGAAAATGGAAGGAGTAGATTCTGTTTAATGGGTACAGAGTTTCAGCTGCTATCGCGGTGGGCGGTGACGGCGGTTGTACAACATTATGGATGTAGTTAACGCTAAACTGCGTTGTAGTTAACTATGATGTAGTTAAGTACATCACAGTTGTTGACTATGTAGCAGTTAACCATGTAGTTAGCTATGATGTAGTTAACACTAAACTATGTACTTAACACTAACTAGTAGTTAACACTAACTGTGTAGTTAACTATGATGTAGTTAACACTGAACACTAAGAAGGATCAGGATCGGGATCAGCAGATGGCATAATGGTTACATAGTTGGACTCCCACATAGGTGACCATGGCTCGAGTCCTGGACCTGGTGGCCTAGAAACTCATGCTGGGTGCATGTGTGTGTATACCCAAAATCCTGAGAGGAGAATGGGGGAGAAGGGATTGCTGCGTGGTCATCCCCTCAGGGGGTGATTTCTCACTTTCTGTCTCTCTCTCTGATGAGTGCGCATGCTCTATAGCAAACATTTCTCTTAAAAAAATGATCAGGATGGTACGTTTTGTTATGTGTATTTTATCAAAATTAAATTTTTTTTTAATAAAAATAATTAGAAGGCCAGGATATCAGTACGGTTGGAGTGGTTTTTGGAGGAAGAGAAAGGGTGGTAGGAGAAGAGGTCACATATCACAGGGACAGTAGCCTCATAGACCGTCATGAGAACTTCACCTTTCGTTCTGCACGGGGTTTTGAGTAGAATAGTGACATAATTTGATTTAGGCTTTAACAGGATCACTCTGGTCAATTAGGAAGAGATTATTGGGGTGAGAGGAGCAAAGAGGCCAATTAAGGGATTCTTATTTTTAAATTATTCATTTAATTTGATTTATTATTATTATTTATTTGCTCTAGGGCACGTGCGCTTACCAGAGAAAGCGAGAGAGAGAGGAGGGCGAGGGGAGTAAGAAAGCAGGCCTCCAGGTCTGGGACTTAGACGACAGTCAGCCCTGTGGGAGTCCAGCGTCTCGGCCACCACACCCCTTGCTGGGCCCCGAGGAAGGGTCACTAGCAGTGTCTGTGAAGATCAAGTGTGACAGTACCTGTGAAAGGCTTGAAGACTGCGCGGCGCTGTACGAATGTCTGTGCCCCTAACTCTCCTTACTAGGCTGTCAGCTTCCCCTACAGGTTCACCAGGGCATCAAGGGGATGGTGCTGGATGAGAACTACAACAGCGTCCCAAAGGCCGTCATTTCTGTCAGTGGGATCAACCACGATGTCACCTCAGGTACGGGCTGCCTACCCACGGGCAGGGTGGGAAGGAGCGTTCTCTCCCATAAGCACAGGGCCAGTCTGTGAGCCAGCAAGATGAGCGGGGATCAGGGGCACTGGGGGTGGAGGAGGGGGGGGAAGGACGGTAGAAATGCAGACACTAAATTCAGAGACGGTCCAGCAGCCGAGATGTGTACATGGAAAACCTTTTGCTTCCGAAGCAATCCCTGAGAAGTGCAGACTGAGAAAGGGAGGTGTAGGTCACATTTCACCAGCGTTTGGGAGCCCCCGTCACGTACCACTCTCGTACGGGGATGTTCTGGACTCGAGGTTACTCTTTTTTAAATTATTATTTTTTTTTTGGAGAGGTTTTTGCTATGAGGGGGGGGCGCATGTACTCACCACAAAGACAGAGAGAGACAGAGAGACAGAAAGGGAGAAATCACCCCCCAGGGGGGATGGCCATGCCACAATCCCTTCTCTTCCACTCTCCTCTCGGGATCTTGGGCATGCATGCATATGCGCTAAGAATGAGTTTAAGCCACCGGGTCCCAGACTCAAACCACGGTCAGCTACATGGGAGTTCAGTGACATAGCCATTATGCCAACTGCTGGTTCCCCAATTTGCTTTTTTTTTTTTTTTCTTCAGAGATTTGCGTTATAGGGTACGTGTGCTCGAGAAATCACCCCCCCGGGGGGATGGCCATGCCACAATCCCTTCTCTTCCACTCTCCTCTCGGGATCTTGGGCATGCATGCATATGCGCTAAGAATGAGTTTAAGCCACCGGGTCTGGGACGTGAACAGCAGTCGACTACATGGGAGTCCAGCGACATAGCCATTACGCTAACTGCTGGTCCCTGGACTTGAGGTTATTAATGGTTCACAAACTGTTGTGAAATGGAAGTGAAGAGAGAACTGTGAGTCTGATTCTCGGCCCTGTTCCTGACTGGGATGTCTTGCTACAGCTCCATTCAGGGCCAAGGCAGCAGGACCCCTTCCCTCTGCTTCCTGCAGGGCAAGATTGATGATGCCAAACCTCCTGGGAGGGTAGAGAGGTATTTTGTGCAGAATATCGCAAATTGACCCGCCCCAGTTTGATCACACACAACTCTTAGGGGTTTTGCTTGTTTTGTATTTCATATGTAGTAGCTGCCAACAGTTAGGCTGGGTGACTCTGGCCTACCTCCCTACAGCCTCGATGCCAGCAGAACTCAGCCAGAGTTCACCACACACCGACCGCCATGCAGGCATCTTACGGTTCACGCTGTCTAAGCCGGAGCAAATCTCCGCCTTATGTCTTCCAGGCGATCCCAGCCCATTCAAGGCATCAGTTAAAGGTTCATTTAAAGGCAAAGGCAATATTCTGAGAGCACAGTTGTGCAGCTTCACTACCAGGCCTCAGACACCCAGACTCCTCCATCCCAGTGGCTGGACCCAGGCCTGCTTAGGGATCTAACTTCTGGCCCCATCCCTAAGAGCACAGGCTTTGGGGCTTGCTAGTCTTATACTCTTTGGGTGGGAATGTCTCTAAAACAGTCCAGCAAATCAACGTGTTTTCAATACCACTGATTTCATTATCATAACACCCATTTCAATGCCTGTTATGCTAAATTAATGAATCACTCATTTCACCTGTGAAAAAATCCCTTCGTAGCATATGTGACTTAGCAAAGCATCTAGTGCTGACTTCAAGTAAAGATGGCGGAAGTGCGAGACCAGCAGATAGCATGGTGGTTAAGGCACTAGATCCCACATGGCTGATTATGCAGTTCTAGTCCTGGACCTGGTAGCTTGAAAAACCTCTCCGGATGGAACCAGCAGATTGCATAATTACTACATCACTTGGCTCCCATGTAGTCAACCACGGTTCAAGTCCTGGACCTGATGGCTTAAAATTCACATCAGGTGTGTGTGTGTGGGTGTGTGCCCAAACTCTTTTTTTTTTTTTTTTTTGAGAGATTTTCACTGTAGGGCGCGTGCGCTCGCCAGACAGACAGAGAGAGACATAGAGACAGAAAGCGAGAAATCACCCCCCAGGGGGGATGGTTACGCCGCAATCCCTTCTCCTCCATTCTCCTCTCGGGATCTTGGGCACGCATGCACACGCGCCCGGCGTGAGTTTTAAGCCACCGGGTCCAGGACACGAACCGCAGTCAACTACATGGGAGTCCAGCGACATAGCCATTACTCTAACTGCTGGTTCCCTGTGCCCAAACTCTTGACAGGAGAACAGAGAAGAAGTATTGCAGCATGGCCATCCCTCCAGGGGGTGATTTCTAGCTTTTTCTCTCTGTCTCTCCAGTGAGCACACATGCCTATAGCAAAAATCTCTAAAAAAAGAAAGAAAAAGAAAAAAAAGAAAGAAAGAAAGAAAGAAAGAAAGAAAGAAAGAAAAGTAAAGATGGGCGTGGTGGCGCCCGCCCTATGGAAAGAAAGCGAAGTAAAGAAAAAGAAGTAAAATCAGTCTGGATGCATGTGCACACATGCCCAAAATAGGAGACTGGAGGAGAAGGGACTGTGGCAAAGCCGTTCGCTCTGGGGAGTGATTTCTCACTTTCTCTTTCTGTCTCTCTCTGGCTGGCACATGAACTGTATAGTAAAAACTACAAAGAAATAAATAATTAAAAAGATAACTGAAGCCCTCACAGTAGCTGCTTCTTGGGGTGGGGCCTTTCTGACATACAACTCTAGCTCACCTCTCTGCAATTAGAAAAGGATACCCCGGGAGCATAACTTAAACTTCTAACACTCATCATAACCCAATGCCTTCGCTAAAGTACTCTAAAGCAAATTGCAGGCATTTAATAGGGGACAGAAAAAGGCTTCCTCATTATCGTCTGTCTCACTCTTCACTACATTTATTATTTTGTTTCTTCATTGCTGTGCTCTTAAAAGAACAATTAAAGGCCCCTCACAATTGATCCTAATAGGATGGAAAAGTCATTAGCCAAAACGCTAGCTCCCTGCCATGGAGAAACAGGCTTCTTTGAATTTTAGTTTCCCTTAGGCATACTTTGGAAGGGGATGGAGGAAATATTAAGAATAGGACCCTCAAAACCAGACCATTAGTGGTCGCGTGGTGCAGCCCTCCCTGCGAATACCAACCACCGACACCGGCTGGCCGGCCCCGAGCTGCCCTGTCCCCAGTGCAGGCTGTGCACTGTTCAGCTGTAGCTTTTCCACAGCCCCTCGTTCAGCCTCTGCTCGAGCGCTCACAATTTCCTAAAGCAGTCCATTTACTGTTTATTTTGTATTTATTTTTAACTGCCAGAGAGCACAGAGACAGGTGGGGAGAGGGAGAAAGCACCCCTTCCCCCTGGGGGGGGGGCGTGGCCCAGCCACACTCTCTTTTCCTCCATGTCTCCACCCTGTTGGGATTTGCACACATACACGTGCACCCAGCATGTTCTTCAAACTCTCGGGGCCGGCAGTCAAACTGGCCTTGGCCTTGTGGGATCTGGCTCCCTTAGCCACTGGGCAACAGGGCTGGCCCCATTTCTTTTTCTAGAGATTTATTTAAAAATCACAATAGTTGATCACAGTAGTTCTGGCTTCTGTTTTGCCAGATCTGCTCCCTACAACTTAAGCCCATGATTCTCATTTAGGTGGACATGTCTTCACAGTTTTACGCAGATTTCATATAATTTGTCTTTCTTTCTTTCTTTCTTTCTTTCTTTCTTTCTTTCTTTCTTTCTTTCTTTCTTTCTTTCTTTCTTTCTTTCTTTCTTTCTTTTTTCTTTTTTAGGAGGTTTTTGCCCTAGGGCATGTATTCTCACTGGGGAGAGAGAGACAGACTAGTGAGAGGGAAAGTGAGAAATCACCCCCAAGGGGCTGGCCACACCGCATTCCCTTGTTCTCCATTCTCCTCCTAATGGGCATGCACATACATGTTCCAGTAGAGATTTTGAAGCCACTGGGTCCAGGACTTGAAACATGGTCAGCCATGTGGGAGTCCAGTGACATAGCCCCTATACCATCTGCTGGCCCTTCATATAATTTTTGTCAGGTAAAACATGAATCAATCTTTCAACCTTTCCTCTCCCCTAGTGACCCTTTACTGAACGTGAGTTTATAAAAATAGACAAGGTCGGGGGCCAGCAGTTGGCGTGATGAGTATGTCACTGGACTCCCATGTAGTCAACCGCTGTTCGAGTCCTGGACCCAGTGGCATAAACTCACGCCCAGCGTGTGTTTGTGTGTGCCCAAGATCCCGAGAGAATGGAGGAGAAGGGACTGTGGTGTGGCCATCTCCCCTGGGGGGTGATTTCTCACTGTCTCTCTGTCTCGCTCTGTCTTTCTGGCAAGCGCCTGGGCCCTATAGCGAAAACCTCTCCAAAAAAAAAACCAGACAGGATCAGGGCCAACAGGTGGTGTGGTGGGTAAAGCGCTAGACTCCCACATGGCCAACGGTGGTTCAAGCCCTATACCCGATGGCTTGGAAATCATACCAGGTACTTGTGTGTGTGTGTACCCAGAATCCCAAGAAGAGAATGGAGGAGAAGGGATTGCAGCATGGCCATTCCCTCTGGAGGATGATTTCTCACTTTTCCTCTCTGTCTCTCTCCTGTGAGTGCACACGCCCTATGGGGGTGGGGAACCTTAAAAAATAAAACAAAACACAGGGTCTAGAATTAAGCACAACCCTTCCAGTGAACTTACAGGGAAACGGGGCTTCTTAGGAGGTAGTCCTGTCATGGAGCAGCTTGCGAGTGGCCCCCGCAGCCTGCAGACGGTTTCATCGTGCCAGCGCGCCTTCCATCAGGGCTCCACTTGCCACAGGTTTTCTATCAGCGGACTGAGTGACGTCCCTTACCTTTCAGGTGACCATGGCGATTACTTCCGGCTGCTGCTTCCAGGCACCTACACTGTCACCGTCTCAGCTCCTGGGTTCGACCCAGAGACAGTGAGCGTGACCGTGGGTCCTGCGGAACCAACCCTGGTGAGTAAGACTGAGCTTTGAATAGCAGAAAGATCACTTATAGAGTCTTTTCTCTTTTTTTTTGCAGAGCGGAAAGATCACTTATAGAGTCTTTTCTCTTTTTTCCTAAATTTATTTATTCCTTCCGAGAGAAAATGAGACAGCTACTCCCAACAGGTCCTCCCGCAGCAATCCCACCCGCAGCCTCAGCCGGCCAGGATCCTGGGTGCACAGGGAGCCCCTGGCATGCAGACCTAGGGCCTCCCCTGCGGCCGCAGCGTCACAGAGCACGGCGTTACTGCTGTGCCACCACAGCTGCTCCCTCACACGAGCCCTTAGACAACTGGCTGGGTATGTTCATCTTTCCAGCTTCCCTCTTTTGCCATTAAAAACAACGAAAACCAGTGGCGTGGTGGTTAAAGTGCTGGATTCCTACATAGCTGGCAGCTGTTCAAGTCCCAGACCCGGTGGCTTACTTTCTCACTTTCTCTTTTTTTTGTACAGGTTTTTGCTATAGGGCGCATGTGCTCGCCAGAAAGACAGAGAGAGACAGAGAGACAGAAAGCGAGAAATCACCCCCCCCAGGGGGATGGCCACATCGCAATCCCTTCTCCTCCATTATCCTCTTGGGATCTTGGGCACGCATGCACATGCACCCAGCATGAGTTTAAGCCACCAGGTCCGGGACTCGAACTGTGGTTGACTACATGGGAGTCCAGCTACATAGTCATTACACCAAATGCTGGTCCCTCACCTTCACTTTCTCTTTCTGTCTCTCTTATCAAATTAAAAAAACAACAATAATAAATAAATAGAACACTTCTTTAAAAAACAAACAAAAATCCCTATGGCTCTCCTATTATAACCTCCCGGCTTCATTTTGACTTTTCTCTTGCTTCTGTTGAACATAGCACCATGGTTCAAAGCTGTCTGGTTCCAAACCTGCCTCATCTGCTAACAGATCCTGGACAAATGACCTAATCTGTCTCCTCCCCGGTTTCTGCCTGTGATTGGTGGTGATCGTGCCTCCTTTAGCAGAGGCTGAAAGGAGAGGTGCACACAGAGCATCTAGTACAGTGACTGACGCGGGCCGCGCTCAGCCAAGTTAGTTTGCAATCCCAAAGGTCTCGCCCAAACGTGCCGCCCCCACGGGTTGCTTTCTTCTGGGCCATCCGCAAGGACTGCCGCCAGATGGCGCTCTGCCTGTGCGCCGAGCGCCGGGGCAGTCTAGCTTTCCAGCGCTGCAGAGCCAGCTCCCCTCCCTGGTTAATCCACCGCGGCTTTCCTTTAGAGACTGGATGAGGAGCACAGGCAGCCTTGATTTACAGCCTGGACTTTGCAGTTTGGCCGTATTAGATTAGGGTCACAGAGCTAACCGGGCTCAGACTTGATGAACGCCAACCCTCAGATTTCATTTTCACAGAGGTTTTTGCTATAGGGTGTGTGGACTCACCAGGGAGACAGAGACAGAGAGACAGAAAGCAAGAAGTCATTTCCCAGAGGGAATGGCCACACTGCAATCCATTCTCCTCAATTCTCCTCTTAGGGTCTTGGGCAGGCAAGCATATGCACCTGGAGTGAGTTTCGAGCCACCAGGTCCGGGACTTGAACCGTGGTTGACTACCTGGGAGTCCAGCAACATAGCCATTACGCCATCTACTGGTCCTAATCCTCAGATTTATTATTTTTCTTAAGAATTATTTTATTTGGGGACCAGCAGGTGGAGTGGTGGTTAAGGTGCTGGACACTCCCACATGGCTGACACAGTTC